CTTTATGTAACTATGTGTTGTTTGCATTCATGTGCGAGAGTTTGTTCCTGTCTGTAACTGTGTGCAATAATGTGAAAGTGAGTATATTTGATCGTGTGTGTGTGATCGTGTGTGTGTGTGTGTGTGTGTGTGCGTGCGCGCGCGCGTGCGTGTGTGTATGTGTGTGTGTGTGTGTGTGTGTGTGTGTGTGTGTGTGTGTGTGTGTGTGTGTGTGTGTGTGTGTGTGTGTCGTTTTGCTGTCTACGTCTATTGTGTTCTTTTGGTGTGAAATAACATTGCATAGTGCTTTCAAGTACGTGTCAGTAAATATCTGTGTGTGTTTGTGCGCGCGCGTGCGTGCGTGCGTGTGTGTATGTGTGTGTGTGTGTGTGTGTGTGTACCGAGTTGTGTTCTCCGTCTGTAGATCTTCTGCTGTCAGGTTTCCAGTGCTGCCTCCCCCTCCTCCCCCCTCCTCTCTTTTCCCTCGCTCTGACCTAAGAAATGAGAAGAAAAGAGAAGGATATATTAAGAATACATTTCACAAGTACAACTTTTTTTTTAAAGAATAAAGGTGACAAAAAAGTATGGGAGGCGGCAGAAGCAGGATTTATTTCAAATGTGAACACATTGTTTACACAAACTGCACATTGTCTATACAACTACTGTAATTGTAACTGGGGATCTGCAGTTTAAGCACCAATACACACAAATAAAGAAAATAAAATGTGAGTGTTTATCCAGCGGTTCCAAAACAATTTGAAGCCCTTTGTGTGTGTGTCATGGGGTCTGAGGTTTAGGACTTTCATTCAACGTAAATTTAGCTGCATTTATACGGAAGCCCTTAGAGACAAGTTTGTAAAAATGAAATTCTGGTGATCCATTTTCTATGTATATTTCTCTGATATAAAAGCTTTTGCAAGGATAATCTTTAAAATGGTTCTTTACCGAAACATTAATCTGTGGAACTGCTTGTAAAAAAGCTTTCGGCATGGGAATTGTATTGTTGTCAGGATCATTGTTTTGTAATGCTCAATTGTGTTTTCCTCAAGATCAGTTATTGTGCCTCCATGCACTCTAAACCAAAGGTCCATATATTGTGTGTTAGTGAGTTATGTAACATTCTGTCCAGCAGAATCCCAAAGAAACGTAGAAAGAATATGTGTGTTTTTCCACCTGTTCTTAAGTCAGACACAGTAGAGAAAACGTCTTTATCAGTTTTATGGTTCAACAGATTTAGATTTTTCTCACTGGCCTCTTAGGGCTTCCATACTTTCCAATACAGTGCCTGATAACCTCAACTGACTGTAGTCCTGGAGGCTTCTACAATACATTCTTGGCGCTAAGACTAAAATAAATGTATCAAACTGGGAACGATGCCTACAGGATCCCTTCCAATAACCACTCCTGTCATAATAAAGAACATCGTTCTGGCTATGGATGGAGTTGTTGCCTGAATGGTTCTGATGTGGAAAAGTCACTCACCCATCCAACACACTGATGTACTTGTGAGGGATGAGACCCTTAACCCCTCCCACTTCGCCTCTCCACCAATCACAGGAGGCCTTGCTCTGCAGGATGATCAGCTCTCCCTGCTTGAAGGACAGCTCTGCCGGAGATCTTGCTGCGTAGTCAAACATCGCCACTGCCTCCCATTCTGTACACACATATACAGTTACGACTCATTTTCGCACATTCTATACCTTTTATTAATCTTATAAAGTGTGTGTTTCCAAAATGTGTGTGTGTGCTGTTTACTGTAAGTCCTCACCTTCTTCACTTGGCAGATGCTCGGTCTCCCCGTCTCCCTCTTCTGTGATTGGTTCGCTGCAGACAGAAAGAAAAAGGAAAGTCGGTTGTCACGCATTGTTCCTCTTTACACAGACCAACTGAAATACCACAGCAATCCTCACTTCTATAATCCTATTTCACATAACATTCATACTGCTGCAAGATTGAACAAATGACCCTCAGAAAGTATATTATATCACTGATTCATGCAGAAAACTGAAAATGTTAGTCAATTACCCAAAAGCGGACTTTAGGGTGTAAGAGGTTGCCACGGACACTGTCGATAGGCCCGAGGCTCTTGTTCAGTTTTACTAAGCAATCAGCTTAATAGTATTAATCTGTTTTCACACAAAGAATTGCCAGCTGCACAGAAATTCCTTTGGCATGGCATGATATTCAGTTCGGAGAGGATGAGCCATGAAAGGGGGGCTAAGGGGCAAGCTGCTCTTCATGCTTGGAAGTCAGACAGAGTCTTAAACTCTAACATTAGCAACAGATCCCAGGGGAGGCTGGGGAGAGGATATTAAGTTTAAACATGCCTACTGGAAGTCAATGTAATCACATATTCAAGTTAAATAAGTTCCCTATTAAATCATATTGTACGGAATGCCGAAAGTGACAAAATGTTGAGAATCATCAAAAGGTTCTTCTCAAGCAAGTAAAATGGGTACAAATGATAAAATACTAGTTAGATAGTTAAAACAAGGTGTAATAGGAAATACAATGCTTTATACTTTCCCTTTAAATTAATACGCTAATAATACAATTAGTTTGCAAGCTTAAATGCTAAGCTTTAAAAAAATATATATATTCTCTATAAAATAATAGTTTCAATAGTTTATGAAATTCATTAATACTTAAAAAAAATAGCATTAGCTAGCTAATGTTTTAGCACTAATTAGACAGCTAAAATGCTAAACTTTAAACAACATTTATCTTTTAGCCTCCATTTAATTTATTTGAAAAATAAATATTGATAGATAATGTATTCATTTATATTGCACTCATTCTTAATTTACTACAATTTGTCAGCTTTGGGGCTCCAATTACATATTGACTCCCTCCTAACTATCACCGGTGATTGCTGGTCTCTCACCAGTACTCCTGCTCCAGAGTCATGTGCTTCTCGTAGACGGGGCCCGGCAGTTCTGATTGGCCGGGATAGATGATGTCATGTTCGAGGATCATGGTTTTGACGAGATCATTGATCTGTGGCTGCCTAGCAACAGCATCATCAGAATCCAATCCCCTCAGCAGGCTCGGCCCGAAACACACGGCCAGGTTATAGGGCTGCATCATGTTCTCATCACTGTACTGAGACACACTGGGAACACACATGCACTTATTATGAATGAAGTACTTCTTATTATGAAGTTTTAGAGTAATAGAAGCGATAGAATATTGCACACCGGGTTACGTGAACTTACTGATTGAGGAAAGCGAAAAGGTAGCGCATCACGACGAGGAGAGGTCGTGGGAACGTGGAGATAATCGCTTTAATCTGGGTCGCTCTCTCCGTCACCCCCTCGATTTCTGATCATGACAGACAAGAGAGAGGAAAGAATTAAACTAATATGACAAGTTTTGATAGTTGCGGTTACAGTTTCCCCATGCCTGCAGCAGTTAGGAACTGCACCACATGCATAAATTACTCGGAATTCAAACTTGATGAAATGTTGTGATAGTACTTAAACTGCTGAGGTGCGGTGGCTAGGTTGATTGAGTACGCCACTTACAGGAGATCTGAGTGTTTAAGGGAAGTAAACAACCTGTAGGCGGGTTCACGACCCTGATAAGCTGTGCAAAATGTGACACAGAGTTTCTGTTTGGCAAACACAATTTGGCCTACAAGAATAACAAGGTGACGATGAGAGAGATCACAGCAGCAGCATCAACATGCACCAGCAGAAAGAGTGGAGGATGCACTGCCTTGAATCAACAGTATACGTAACAGACAATTGTCTGAAGATTAATGCTACTAGGCTGCAAAAAGCTCAATCAAATGAATCGCTGCAACATAAACTTCCAACGGTTTATGTCTCAAATGCTTTTGATCTAAAGTCCTAAGAAATCCAATTGGTGGAAAGTGTAGAAAACATTGAAATCTTTGATGTCACTTTTTCCTAGTTAAAAAAAATCTATTTATGCATGTACTCTTATATATCACAGAAAATGTTTGCTACTGTTTCTAATCTGTGTTTTACATGTGACAAAGTTGAATGCATAAGTGCAAAAATACTTATCCGTAATATATGTTTTCTTGCAATATCTTGTTATACTTTTCTATTATCATTTCATGAGAACTTATTTTTGATATCATAAATGTTTTGTTTACCTTTAATTTATTTTGTTAGAATTTGTTATTTTTGTATTACTTCCATAAGCTACCATATTAAGTGCAATATTAGAGGCAATCATTGACATTCTTTAAACACATTAAATGTTTCATAGCAAGATCTGACAGATTGAAGTCTTATTTTAAAATTCTTACCTCAGTAAAAAAGGTGACCTCAAATTGATATATTTGAACAATATATTTGCGCATTCATGACTCATTAATGATGAGGTTTGCACATTTTCTCAATAGATGCAAGTAAAAGGGCGTAAATGAACTAAATACACATTAGAGTTTATATATAGGGGACTTACGGACACACTCCAGCAGCTGAGGGTAGCTGTCGTACGGGAAGAGAGGAGGCTCAAGGTTTCTGAAGTAAAGCTTCAACACACCAGCAACTGAGTCCAGGTCACACTCACTGTCCGAAAGAGGATCCTCTCCTACGGCGGGGGAGATGCAAAAATGTAACGTTAGGAAAAGCAGGAAGGTTACAGCAAAAACGTTGTGGAGTACACTTATACAGGATTATCATTTTTGCCGTACACATCCTAAAAATAAACATCATACGGAAACACAATTTTATACAATTTTCGATACAAATGTTCCATCTTTTATTATTGGTTTAAGGATATAAATAACGTATTGCTTTCTGTGAAAACTATAAAGTTGCACCATTTATGTTTTGGTTAGATCTACAAAGACTGTTTTAAATTCAAAATCAAAACTATAATTATTGCTTGCGGCTGTATGCCTCCGCCAAAATATCAAGTTGCAGATTAACTATGAGACATTTGTTGTGAACTATTGTCATAATCAGCATGAATTCCTGAGATATGGCCGGAAACGTGTATTATGAAAGGCAGTTTGTCATTTTGAACCTTTTTGAAACCTAATTGGGTGAATTACTGATGTTTTGATGACTTGATACTAGTTTTTTTATTTTTTTATTACCAAGGTATAGCCTACTGTTGGATACATTAATTTAGATGAAAAAGTTAGAAGTGGATTAGAATATGAAGTATTCAGTCAGAATACATTTTCTTTAAGAATGTAACTCTTGTAGGCAGTTTGTCATTTACACCTATTTTGTTGAAATACTGCTGTTTTGACTTTACTAATACATGAATTATTTGAGTTACGGCCGAAAACAAGTTTTATGAATTCACAGTGACCTTGACCTTTGACCACCATCCCTAAGTCCAAGTGGACCTTTATGCCAAACGCGAAGAAATAACCTCAAGTCGTTCATTAGAATTTGCATTCACAAAAATGTGATGGTCGTATGGACGGACAGAATATATTTCATCACGCAAAGATACTACATTTCCAAATCTCATACCTCTTTCAAATGCATCTCTGATGTGGTTAACTTCCCTCTGTGACCCAGGAACTCTGAATATCCCTTCATGGTGGAGGCCTGAGGCACAGACACACACGTTATATTATATAATGTGTTCATAGATGCATGATGCTCCATACAGGATAATACAGGGCTGCGCGCGCACACACACACACACACACACACACACACACACACACACACACACACACACACACACACACACACACACACACACACACACACACGTAAGAAGTACTTCCATCTTCTCATCCCCAGTGTCCAAATATCTCTCAGCATGGCTCATTGGTGTTCCATAGAAAGTGACTCACCGTGAAGGTTTATGAAACGAATACAGCTCTCAACCACCACAGGGATCTGCTGCCCCGAGCTCTGGAGAAGAGAGAGAGGCAGAAACACAGAGATGAGAGAAAATGGGGATTTGGATACAAAAAAAGAGGGGACAAGGATGACATGAGCAATACCAGGGAGAAAGGAAGATGCAGTGCAAGGGAAACAGTGAGTTAACAGAGCAAGAGAGTTACAGAGCTAAGGAATGAAACTAAGTGAGTTATGTCATTTGATGTCGCTGCCAGGGGCGTAACTAGGATCATGAGCTCAAGACACTGAACCAAGTTTGGGTTTTCACATTTTTCAAAATGTTGGGTATATTATTTCTGAACTGAACAAAATAGAAATGTTTTTTTCCATTAAACTTTCAAGGCGACTATTACTTAATTGTTGATGTTAAAAACAAAGAACTCTTGTAGAATTCTGATATAGGTCCCTCACCCACAAAACGAAAAAAATAAAAGTTGTTGTTTTACGAATGATTACTTGCTGGATCCAATGTTATGACCTTTGGACAGAGCACCCATTCCGGCTGGTATCAGCCCAATAAAGGGCTGTTATTATTGTTATCACCAAAATCGTAATAATTCAGACGGGGCAAACTACCCTTACACTGTTCGAAACTGTTTACATTTTAAACCCATAGCTTTGCTTTTACAAAGACTATGGTCTGAGTTCAAATATGCTTGATACGTTAGGTAACATACACAATTTAAGTACGTAATGTATGGTATATAAGTTGACTATTGTTTGCTAGTTGAAAATACCAACAGGTTTACCTGGTTTAGCACGGATTTCTTCATCACATGACTTCCTACTGTATTCCCGTCATAACTACTACTGACACTAGAAGTCGAATCTTAACATTATATCAAGGCTTTATAATGCTCGACTCTCGTTGGCCAACTTGGACATTAAGCGGACTCCTATAGCTTAATAGCACACTACTGGTGAGGACGCTCTGATTAAAGGAGTAAGTGCAGTCATATCAATCCACAAAAAATTGTCCTGTCAAATTATTGTCAACTGTGACAAAAAAAACACATTTGTCTTTGGTTTACCATCAGAAACACCATGAAATAAGTTTGGAATTGTTCTCTTTAAATTTTTCGGAGACCACAAAACTTTGGATTCATGATGGCTAAATAGTATTGAACCTCCCTAGAGTGATCAGCTCACCAATGGATGATGACAACCTATCTAGCTATAAGGAGGATGTTTAAGGCCTTAACACCAAAAAATATGTTCTTACTATAACTGATAACATTGAAAGTGGGTGGCAAGAGACTAGCTAGCAGGAAAAAAGCCCAACGTCCTTTTTTAACAGAAGCAGTCACAGATGGGGTTTAGTACCTGAGTCCGAGACATTCTCCTTCTTCTTCTGCACCATGCCAAGCACAGTCAAGAGGAGACAGAAAAAAGCACAGATTAGGAAAAAGGCAGAGTAGAAAATAAGGGGAATAAAGATTTAGAAGCAGTGGGAAGAGGCGCGCGCGCACACACACACACACACACACACACACACACACGCACACACACACGCACACACACACGCACACACACAAACACACTCTCTGAAAAGAGGAGCCGAGAGAGGAGGCAACAAAGAGGCCAGTGCATTTTAATCCCTTTCACAAGAGGAAGAGATAAAAGGGAGGATTGAAAGGAGAGAAAAGCCAGCAATAAACTATAAGCATCACCATACACATGAAGGCAGCTGTGAGTACACTGGGGGGATGGACTGTTAGTGTGTGCATGTGCTGTAAGAAGCCTCCGCCAATTCTTCTGCTTCAGTGTGACAGGATTTTCTAAATGGTTCCCTTTGGAGGGCTGAACAGCAGTACATCGCAGTGCAGCAAGCAAATATAAACGAAGTAAAACAGGGGGTGTATTTCAAAGGGATGTTTTTTCTTATTTGCATGTGTGTGTATGTGTGTGTTACCTGTATGTAGGTGACTATGTCTGTGGTGAAGAGTGTGTGGCAGAATTGGGAAACAGGCCTGGACTTCCGAACACGCACAGACCGAGCACATTGCGTTCTGGGAAATATAATGATGCCATGTGGATGTTAATACTCAAGATATCATTATGTCCCGCATTACTATTAGCCGTTAACATATACTTCACATTCCCCCCTTAAAAAAGATACTTATACACATAATAGAAAGTTGCACAAAATTGTATTTTAGTTCAAATTCCGTTCATCTCTCCTCTGCTCCTTGTCCTCTGTGTTCTCTCCGTGTCTCTGTGCCTCTCTCAGTCAAACTCTCTTTAATATTAGTGGTGTAAATACACTGTTTACCTGGAAGGGTCACTGTCAACAGCCTCCGCTGGAAGAAAAGGACAGAAAACAAGTTGAAGAATAAGGTGTCATTTTTATTTTGCACAAAGTCTGTTAAATGGCCCTCAAGTGATCTCACTTGAGTTAGCGTTGGTTTGCTGTAAGGCTTCAATTTTAGAAATGAAAAAAAATCAAGGTAGTGGGTCAAGGTTTCATTTGAAGCTACTAGCATAAAATAAAAAGGAAATATTCTGCTCATTTTCAGGTTCATATTTGTAATTGTTGCTTCTACTGTTAGCCCAGACTGTTCTGATTGGTTAGCTGGCCAGCTCTGTTGTGATTGGTTAACTGGTTAATTGGTTAATTGGCCTATCACATATACTGTGTTGAAGCGTTAGCCAATTAAAAAACGTGTCTTACATAGTGATGTCACTAAGTCAAGGAAGTAAACAAAGGAGTCCAATGGAGGCGTTTTAAGCAGGAAGGGCGAGGGGGTGTGGGAGAGAAACTCCCTCTGGAGGTAACTTTGGGATTTCAGCCTTTGCAGAACATTTACATGCACGCAAACCTATACAACACACTACAGGGAAGGGAAACCCCCTATTTCAATCTCTGATCAACACCATTGAAATGAAACAGATATTTGTAGAAATGTGCCTTTAACAAGCCAACACAACTCTTTGGAATGAACCTTGATATGTGTTGATAGACATTAGGCTGTGGCTTAAGGAAATTGCCTTCCCATTATCTCTTACTGTAGCGAAAGAGTACCTTTCTGTATGGCATCATGTAGAAGGTCATGTTTGGCTTGAAGTTTGAAGGTAAGAGAACTGCTGATGAGGAAGTCCTTCACTTTCTAAGACAAAAAGTAAAAAGATAGTCTGTTGAAATTCATGTCGCCATCATAACATTCACAGTAAGCATAAAGGTAAAATATGTGAGATCTTACGGAATATAATTATCAGCAGTGAAAATTATATTTTGGTGTGGTGTGGTATCGTGAAAATAATTGTGCGTTTACATTTCAATTTTGGTTTACATTATCAGTCTGTATAATAACTTCACCTTTAAAAGTACCGTAATAGCAATATGTCCACCTCTAGCCCACTCACTGTAAAATAATAGGTCTCTGTCTCCTGCTGATTGGCTCGACGCTTGGCAATGGTCAGCTTTTGGGCGGTGTTTCCTCCAGGGGGCTCGTGTGTTAGGGTGCTGAGCACGTCGGGGGAGGGGTTACAGTCGCTCTCACACATGTTGTCCAGTAGGGCGGTGAGGGTGGCTTTAAGTGTTTTACTAACCTGAGAAAGGGAAACAAAGATTGATTGGTTGATTCAGTTCTTTAAGATTATTTCAGTTAATTTCCTTGACATTACGTCAAAATTATTATTAATTTAGAGGGACAGCTAACTCCAATACTCCAAAGTCAAGGAACAGAAAGACGTTAGCATCGACTGATAAGCAAGACAATTGTGACGAGATGTAAACATTAATGACGTCCTCTTATTTTGTTCTTAAATGTAGCTAGCTGAGGAGATGCACACTTCCTTCGCATGCTTATATGGTTTGCCGGATGTAGTTGAAAGAAAGTAGTTCCAACACAAAACTGCTCACAACAAGGTCTGTTAATTATCTTAAATAATCAGGTCATGATTTCTTGAAAGAGACATTAATGTTGAGTTTTCAAAACCCAGCAACTCACACTAAAACAAGAAGATAAAAAGAAGTGTAGATAATAGAATAATATTTATTTTTTATTTTAGGGAGGAGTGTCCCTTTAAATTTCATTTCTTTAAATTGCATATTGTCATTTACTTACTTCCTATAGTGACTGATTGACAGTGCCTGGACAGATCATTAAAGAAGCAGGCAGTGTGAGTTATTAGCTTACCTCCTCTGTTTCCAAGGTAACAGCAGCGAGTCGAGATTGAAGCTGCTGGAACCTGGTCTCCAGCTCGTACCTCACCTGGCTCTCCGCACTGACCTCGCACACCTGAAATACACAAACGAGATCAAATTACGAAGCATTGTCAAGCTCTTACCACCAGTATATTGTTTTTAAAACTCTGTTATGCTTTTATTTCAGGTTGACTTTAAAAACAAATACGAGTAGCAATTTTTGAGCACTATAAAAGAATGCATTAAATAGGCAACAGGGTTATGTATGGAGTCATAATAGTGCCATAAAAAAGAAATAATCTGTTTCAAATCAAGAAAATAAAGGAGTAATTATGAAGAGGACTATATGAAATAATAAAGAAATAAACAAAAAAATATATATAAAAAATAATCACAAACATTGAAATATTTTTTTAACATTTATTTATATTTTTTAAAATATAAATCATTTTAATTCATTTTAAAATATTTACGTGATTTTTTTTCTTACTTGCATTTTCTTTAACACATTTACTGCATATGACTCATTTGATTTTAACATGGTATATATTTATTATGATGTAAACAGAAAACCGAGGTGCACTAATTCCAGTGTTCCCCATTGGTCCTGAGTAAAGCCCCCCTCTGATCGGTGCAGTGATTCCCCCTCCTCACCTGGTCTCCCTCATGTGGATGGTAGTTGAATTTGAATGGAAGGCAGAAGGCAGAGTCGTGTTGCTGTAGCAACCCATCTCTGTCTCCACCCTGGTTCAGGGACGTCACGGCGGCCTCCAGCTGCTTCAGCCCCGTCTCCTCCGTCTTCTGGATGCGCCACCTACTGGCCAGGTAGCACTTCATCACCCTCTCCACGGACAGGTGGAAACCCAAATCACAGCACTAAGGGTGGGAGGAAATGATGTATGGGGGCATTTAGGAGGAGGAAAGGGAGGAGGAAATGGTATGGAAGGGAGGAGGGAGAGAAAGACGTGTTGAACAGGCAATAACGCTCCAAACTACTCCACATGATATCTCTGCTTTTTCAGATAATAACAAGATGGAGATTCACAAAGATAGGGGGAAAAACTGATTTATGTATATTTCTGATATTAGAGTTGTACATTTAAGAGAAAATAAATGCAAGAAATATCTCCTTTGTGTTAAATCCAACGGTGTATTGTAATTTAATTATGATCTACTGCCGGCATAATAGTGGCAGCATCTGTGGTGTGATGAGATTTATCCAATCTGGCAAAGTGGAGTCCTTTTGGTTCCCTGACAAGAAAAAGACACTACTTATCAGATTTTCTCTCCAATGTTTTATCTTTTGTACAACTTAACTCTTAGAATCTCAGATTTTTTCCGATAAATGTAGTTCCCCACCCGTGGCTCCATAATTCCCATTTTTTATATTCCTTACGTCGATGAGAGTGCTGATGTCCTGCAGGTAGTACTTGTTCATGGCTGCATTGGATGCTGCCAGATTCAGCAGGTAGTCATTACGAGCCTTGGTACACTTCAGCTGATTCTCCTGCACTCTGCCATGCCTCTGCACACACACACACACACACACACACACACACACACACACACACACAGAAGATAAGAACACAAAATGATGTGTTGATAAAAAGACAATATAGGTGCTCATCACCATGATTTGCTCACTCATATAAAACAGATGCTTCAAGGATTACAGAATTTAAAGTTTATAGTCTCAAACCCACTGAGACAAAACAACAGGAACAGGAAATTATTCTAGACTTCCTGTTAGTCTCTCACACACATCGCTGACACAGGGGGTGTTTCTCAATCTAGAGTAAAGCTGCTCCAGAGCCACTACTTCAAGCATACTACGTCATCGAGTCCCGCCGAAGGACTGTTCCAATGTCCAGCATACTTGGAATTCTACCGAGGCCGGCGTACTTCGTAGCGAGAAATTTCGAGGCTGCACATGTGTAGACTCCGTGGTCTTAAAATCCCCACAATGCTTTGCGCACAGACCAATTTCCAAATCTTTGGCGAAAATAGCGCTCCATTTAAGGCGGGGCCTCGCATATGACGCACACCTGCACACCTGTTAGCCTGTTCCACAATTCTTTGTTTTCCGAGGCTAGGAAGGATTCTTGCCTCGCTTCTGAACCAAGTGACTCGGAAGACATGTGCTACCAAGCAAGCGTCCTCCACATTGAGAAACACCCACACTCACTTTCTCCATCAATCTCTCCATTTTCTTGACAGAGCTCCGCCTTTGGCCTCCTGATTGGCCGAGGCCGAGCTCAGCTGATTTTCCAGTGTGTCTCTCCTCCAACCGCTCGGCTTCCTTCAGTTTCCCCTCAGCTATCAGGCAGTCGGTGTGGTACTGGTTGTACGTCTTCAGAGCCTTCATTAGCACACAAAATATAAACTTCACGTCAGTGCATTGTTATATTATTTTTGCATTATTAGATGCAAAGACCACCGTGTAAAATGCTCACCATCTGCATTTCAGTGGTGACCTTCAGCAGCTCATCCTGCATCTGGATACCAACTTCTTTGCTCTGCAACACACAAGGGTAGACTGTTTGTCAAGTGCCTATATTACATTACATGTTACTTGCTAGACGCTTTTATCCAAAGCGACTTACATACTCAATACAAAAACGAATGCAATAGGCGAATTCACACACCGTAGTACTTTTCACCGTACTTTTCCCGTTAGTGCCTGGAATTTTGCGTTCACACCAAAAAGAGTACTTAGTTCCGAGAACTTTTACCCCCATGTTTAGTGCCTGCTAGATAGGTGGTACTATCCTGGGGAAAAAAAGTACCAATTTCGATTGGCTGGGGCGGATTGGAAACCACGGCCCTTAAAACTCTGAAAAGTTTTGTAAAGCCGCCATTGTATTTGCTGGCATTAGCATTATTAGCATTAGCCCAGCGCACCAACGGAGAGAGAATAACTTATGGCAACACAAAAAAAAACATGGGAGCGCTGGAGGGATGAGGAGGTGTCGGCGTTCTGGCGATTTACTCGGAAGGCTTCAGTAGAAGCTGCTGGGAGTCCCAGCAGCTTCTACTGAAGCCTTCCCAAACTCCGGGGACCTCTGGCCGGGAACTTGATCCCCTCGATAAACAGATATTGCAGCAATATTGCAGAAAATACTCTTTGTGGAAAAATAAGGTTTATGTTATATAGGCCTACGCTTTGTTCAGAAAGATAAACTTCACGAATGAACAGCGGGGGTTGCGTTCGAGTGGTCAATTTGCTCTCAAAGGTTACTAATGGAGTGGAGTACTTGAAGGGCAGCCATAATAAGAACTGTTTGAATTCTCTAATTGCTCCCTTTAAAATCCCCTTTAACTTAGGATACACTGGACCATCTTTAATGAAAGGCTGTCTCACAATATTTGCGGTCGCAAATCGACACAATATCCAGGTGTTCGGATCGGCTGATTGTGACAGACAAACGTAGATAACTGTAAGTTGAGATGCACATTTATGCCGTAACTTGCCAAAATATTATGTTTTGAACTTTCAACACTATGTTAAACCAAAAAGTGGATAGACAGTAATTACTGTAAAATGAAGAAAGAAAGGTGTTTACTGAGTTAGGTGTTAATTTGCATCATAATTACGTCTCCAAGTGTAAGTGCAGTCATATTCTCTTAGCAAAGCAGTTCTATTTTCCTAAGTCCTGATGACATTTTCCTCAACCCTGTGACGTTTCACACAGAGTTTAAGGAAAAGTGGTTAGGAAAAGACATAACGGCAGTTTTTTTGACAATTTGACTGCAACCAACCTTTATAATTAATCAAGTGTAACTACAATCGCCAGAGCTCAAAAGCTAACACTAGGCTATAAATGAACTACAACAGTTACTAGACCACCACCGCTGAGTAATTTCCCTACCTTACATTTTACATTTGATTAGATTTAACTTCTTTGAACTCTGTAGTGTCATTTAGCCACTCGTTAGCAACTGTCAATGAAATGAAAAGTAAATGCTTCAAAATCCTTGAGTTGGATAAGAACAAAACATTGAAATCTCTTAAGCTTGTATTACACCAACCTAATTTGACATCTAAGCAATCATTTAAAAGACTTATTCACTTACTTACTAACTGCCACAACGCCTTATTAAGAACTGAATATGATACATTCAATGTTACAATAGATAAGAAGAATGACAACTAGGTCTTGGATGTCTATTGTGTGTGTTCCTGTGTGTGTGTGACCTAACATCGAAGGTCTTCTCACCCGTTTGTGCAGGCGGTGTGTGTCCTCCGTACTGTGGGCCAGTGTCTGTGTGAGTGTGTTGCAGCAGGTGTCACCCAGCACTGCATGTTCCCGGCTCTCCAACCGAGTCTGAGTCAGCAGAACAGACCAGACCTGACACACAGACTGACCCCACTGCTCCTTCCTGAAGAAAACACACATCCATGCTCAGTGACAGACTCATGAAACACTTCACCTTACATGTACACTTTACCTGCACTCACATCTCCACACTTATGTAAATATATTTAACATGTTCATACAAATGCTCAACTTTTGACTGTGCTATCTTCATTCAATAGTTACTTTATCACTTTATTTTTGCTGTATTATTATTTTAATTTGTATTTTATTTTAACTTTATTTTTACCTTGTGTGAATCCTGTTTTTCCTTCTGACAATGTTGCTTCTATAAACGCCCACATTTCCCCAAGAGGATAAATAAAGTTCCATCTTGTCTTATCTTATACTTAGGGAAGCCTAATGCACATGGGCGTTTCTAGGGGGGGGACCAAACCTCAGGGAGAAAAATCGTATAAATAAAAAAGAAAATGTATCTTACACTTGACGTCATGATTTAGCTCTCGTACATAATGTCTGACCTTTCTACATAACATTAAGCTGTCTTTGGCTCTATTTCTGCTGTAACAACGTAAATGTCCCCTCTGTGGGACTAATAAAGGTTTTCTGATCTGAATGCTTACTTCTTAGTCTTGTGTGTGTATCGCTCAGTGAGTTTGTCGAGGGCGCGAGCGTATTCAGTCTCGATGTCGCCTCGGCGCCGCAGAAACTCTGAGAGGTCTGAGAGCTGCTGCTGTTTCACATCCACCTGAGAGTCCAAAATCTTGATCTGGTCTGTCAGCTGAGTGCGCAGGTCTGACACCCACACACACACACACACACACACACACACACACACACACACACACACACACACACACACACACACACACACACACACACACACACACACAGAAGATAAGAACACAAAATGATGTGTTGATAAAAAGACAATATAGGTGTCCTTTATTTTGTAAAAATATCCACCCCAATATATTTGGACATTTCCGTTTTTGTATATTTTTGTGTTTTGCCTTATAAATTGTCATTTATTTACAGTATCAATTCTTACACATCCCAGAAATCAGCACAACCTCAACTTCTTCTGTTCATTAGTTATGCCCATTATTTTGGGCAGTGTCCATGGGCGGAATTGTAATTTTTTTTGTCAAGACTAAACATGATATATCAACCCAGTCTCACGGCATTTCGTGTTATAGTCACGAAATGAATTGAATCTATTGATTCGTGTTCACCAACACGATTTTCTCCTTTTTTTCGTGTCACACAGAACGATTTTAAAAGCAATGTATTTCTATTGGTAGTGTGTTTCTTGCCTTCACCACGTCTTTTTGTCCGGTCGGGTCTTGGAATACCAGAAGCNGTTTTAAAGAATTTTGCAGACAATGTTTTGAGTTCTCCTGCTTTTCTATACACACCCCTAAGCAGAGTTGAGAGGAAAGTTCAGTTCTTGTTACCTCTTCTATAGAAAAGCAGGAGAACTCAAAACATTGTCTGCAAAATTCTTTAAAACATAGTGGGAAGATTTAAAATTCAAAGCTTACCTGGATCAGTGTTGTGCTAGTTACTGAAAACCAGTAACTAGTTACCATTACTAGTTACTTCATTTCAAAAGTAACTCAGTTACTTTACTGATTACTTACACCAAAAAGTAATGCGTTACTGTGAACAGTAACGCATTAGTTATTAAAAAAAGGGCTCCCATTAATGCCCTTATAGCCTTCATTTCAGTACTTTTATTGCATTGGAGAATAATACAATCTGTTGATCAAGAAATAGAAATAGTAGAAATAGCCTGCATGTGTTCTAAAACATACCGTGCAATGGCTTTATCAACTTTTCCCTGGCTAGCAGTCCCTCGGTTAAAATCCAGCCGCTGTTGCTTAGGTGGAGGTGGAGTGGCGTCGGATGAGTCTGGGTCTGTGGTCTTAGCTACTAGCTTCGTCCCAGCATGTTGTTTCTGCAGATGTTTCAACAGATTTGAATTGCTGTTTTGGCAGTAGATAGGATCTTTGACCCGCCAAGACACAACTTACATTTAACTCAAACGTTCTTTTCTTTGTGCTCGACAAAAGAGAAATAGTGAGAATATCTCCAGGCGGAGAAACTCGACTTGAGCTCCGCCGCCATGATAGTCTTGTTAGTAAACACAAACACGCCCACAGCGCGTCTCTGCATGTGACACAGGAAGTATCTAAGTACATTTACTCAAGTACTGTACTTAAGTACAGTTCTTATCTCTGTTCGCCTCCCTGTTGGCGCCGCTCACCAACGCCTGGGAGCCGAGACTATATAAAAAAAATAACGGAGTAACGCACCATGTAGTAACGGTAACTGAGTTACTGAATTTAAAAAAGAATGCGTTAGAGTACTAGTTACTGCCAAAAATAACGGGGTTACAGTAACGCGTTACCTGTGCCTATGGTACTTGTTAGGGAATAATTCTCCTAGACTCCTAGATATATAACCTTTTTGCCCTTTGACGTGTATGACTAACCCTGACGTCTATTCAGCCATTTGTTGTTGTTCCCATTTCTATGACCGGGCAACTCTCGGTCACCGATGGTTTATTGTTGTGGGTACACTGGGACACTTCCTTCTCAGTGTTTGTGGACTCCAAGGTGTGAAATCTTCGAGGCCATAGTTGTCAGACGCAAGTAATTCAGTGTTCCCAGCTGTTTAGGCTATCTTCTCAAAATATGTTGATTACTCTCTGTGAAACCAGTTAAAAGGTCTAACGAGAGAGAGTCGCTCCAGAATTGATGTGGCAACTTTCCCGTGCAGTCAGACCGTGGCTGCTGTGACTTGTTTTGTGAATTCTCCGGCCGAAGCTCCTAAATAAACCATCAGTGTTTGACATCAAAGCTCCTGCTCATCCCGTGTCTCCTTCATGAGTCGGTGACTCCCACTGCATTGCTACACAGAAGTTTCCCCCACAGTACTCACTATGAATTCAGTAAGGCAGGTTAGAGCATTGCCAGGAAAGTGGAGCTAGGGTTAGGGTCACGGTTAGAATGAAAAAACAAGGGCATTAGACATCTCAAGAAAATATTTAAAATGTGGTTGATACATTGGAGGGATATAACTTTGGCTCTTTCCATAACAAGTCCATCATTTATATTAACTTTGTTAATGAGCCTTTCTAACAAAGGATCAGTACACTGTTTCTATTCTGAGATCTTTCCTATGGTCAACACATAATGTGATTGCACTTTGGTCTTTAAAAGTAAAAGTTTAACAAGTTAGTTTGGCTCTTTTGATTTTCATATTGAAGCTGGTGTTTAAATGTAGCTTAAGCAAATGTATATACTTAAATATTAGTTTGTAGTAGTATGTGGTACTTACTTAGTGTATGACTTAGTTGACAGTTAGCCCCCAAAAGGTTGTTAGCCACCTTTAGTTTAGCTAATTTAGCTATCGTCAAAGCCACCAGAATCATTGATTAAAAGTGTTATTTTACTTCACAGAACACGGGAGATGGTGGTCTACCTCTACCTCCATGATTTAGTTGTATTGTTAGTCTTAGTCTTATTGTGTGACTTTGTGAATCTGAACTAGCACCTTTAAAATATGAAAGTTACACAAACGATAATTTTTATAAGATAATGACTATCATTGTGTGAGAAGGGGCATTTTAAATTGATGTACTTGAACGCAGCATCTATATAGCATCTTTCAGTGGGAGGTGTTTTCAGGGATGTTCATTATCTTCCATGTCTCCCTCCTCTGCTGTTTGCTTCTCCTCTTCTGCTCTCTCAGGACATGATCAGCCGTCAGATGAACTCGGTGTTCAAGGAGCTCCTGTCTCGCCAGCCAACCCTGCCGCCGTCAACCCTTCCCCCCACTGCTCCCTCCTCCTCCTCCACCACCTCCTCCTCCTCTGTTCCTCAAGCTGCACCCACTGCCAAAAAAGTTGGATTCGGCCTCAGAGGAAGGACCCTTTTCAGACCGGTGGACTAAAAGAAAGGAGAGGATGAGTGGAATTGTTGATTTGTTGTTTAACGATGATTATGCTGATGCCGACGATGCATTAAGTGAAGATATCGATTTATTTTTTTGACACGTGTATAATATTTGCCATCTCATTGTGCCACTAGTCTCGGTGCCGTGTAACTGTACTGTACTGTGTGTCTGTTTTAAAGCTGGTTTTGGTATTTTTATTTTCTTTGGGTCTGTTTGAGTCCCCCAGGCTTTTGTACCTTTTGGGGAATCAGGGATGTGACATCACCAGACTGACTTTTAAGAGTGGCTGCCATGATACGTTAAAAAATATATTTAGGCTGCCCCTTAGTGGCAGCTCTGATGTTTGCTTCATTTAAAAAAGAAAACTGATCCGGGGCCAGAGTGCCTTCAAATCTTTTACTCTTCACATTTATTTCACTTGAAAAGAACCCCAAGGTGTTCAATATTAATTAAGACGTTATGAAATCAAATCAAGCACACGTTACAAGATGGAAACAAAGATTTGTGAATTACTTGAAGAAATAGTTTAAACTCAACTGCTTATTTTGAGGTGTTTTTCTCATCATTCATTTTTATGATAATATCATTTCATTGGATATTATCCATTAAAGTTATGTTTATTTATGTCCAATAATGTAGTTTTATTTTTCCAGATAACACTTTGATTTCCTGTCAAGTTTTATTTCATGACATTTTTCTTCATGAACGTTTTTATCAATGTCACTTCTCATGACAAGAGTGCATTCACCACCCTCCCACCTTTCAACCAATCGCATGTTCCCTGCTTTTTAAATATCCCATATTGTAAAAAATGTGGGTTTTCATGTCTTTTTTAATTTTTCAAATAGGTCAGGTGCCACAAAAATACTGTGAAGAGTCAACCCATGGAGGAATGCACACAGCCCGCTTTTAAAAACTGTGCCTTTAAACGAGCTGTCATTCCCTGGCTGCAATTACAATGCAGAGACACAGAAAGCACATGAGACTCAGAAACACTGACCAATCAGAGCAGGCTGGGCTTTTTTAGGGGGGCCTTAAAAAGACCGGTTAACAAATCAAGCGTATTAGACGGGGGAAATATAAATATATATTTTTGAAAACTTTAGCATGTGAACATGTTCTAGAAGAAACCCAAAATACAAGTATCAGCCTGAAAATGGGGATAATATTTGTCCTTTAAGACAGCTAATTGAGAACACATTTAGCCAGCAACCTGTTAGCTCGATCAAAAACAATGCCAATTTAACTCTAAACTTTAAAAATAGAGGCCCCTGCTTCAAATAGAGGCCCCTGTTTTAAACAAATACAGTAAAAACAGACGGTCATTTTGATATTGTCTTAGCTTAATGCTACCTCTTTAGCCAGCTAACTAGCTAGTGGAGCACGCAAGCATCCTCATCTAGGTTCAGAGAGACACCATTTAAAAGTGAAATGAAATAAATAGTGACATGACTAAAAAGACTGATGTACAGAGCAGTATTCGGGCCAGGCATAGGGGCAAAAGCAAGAGGATGGAGATATATTTTTTATTTTGCATTTAGAGAACATTTTCAAAATATTAAGAGTAAAGTCACACTCAAGGTATATTTTCTAACCAGAATAAAGTTCCATGTTTCATTTCAAGGTGTCAACACCATTCTCTAAAACATTTTTTTATTTAAAACATTTATTTTATTTTTAATATTTTAACATTACCATTAACTTTTTTTATGAAAGGGTATTCTGACTTTTTGTCTCTAATTGGTATTTCATCTTTGTTAGACCCATTTGAACTTTTCCTTGAAATGTCAACTTTAATCTCAACATTTCAACTTTTTTCTTAATATTTTGACCTTATCCTGAACAATTTTGAGTTAATTC